AGTCATCATCACACACTGTCCCCCACTGACCGCGGTGGTACACCTCCACTCTCCCAGAGCAGTTATTGGGTCCGTCGACCAGTCGGACTCTCCTGTTGCCTGTGGAATAAGACGGGAGGAAAATTCTTACACCGTGAGACAGACATCTGTGAAAGATTCTACCTTAGATGGGGTATTCCTATAAATCTGCACACTCAGCAAAAACTCCATGTTGACAGCTCAAGCTAGTGCAGAAGGCTTTACTTCACAATTTTTAGTTGTTTCAACAAAGAAATGAGCATTTAGATAAATTCCATACACCACTATGACTGACCAAGGCCTTTAAATACCAATCAAAATCCCAAATTAACAAAGTGCCCTAAGAACTTCCACGCAGATTCTGCATAATTAGAAGTTCATCACCCTGTGTGTCTCTTTACACCAAGAAGAGGTGCTTTAGTAGCTTCTGCTGGAAATTGCGCTGTAATACCAGCCCCTTCATAGACTGCTCTGCCACAGTGTATAAAATTGCTAAGAAGAACTATACCCTTGTGAAGACCACACTGGGTTCCTTCAGTAGATTAAAGACACAAAGAAACCGGTTAAATAAGACTCAGCCACACTGTCAGAATCAGCTCGGCTTATTCTACATGTTCCACACTCACAGCAGTTTCTCTGTGTCTCAAACACAGCATTACATAAACTGCACACTGAGAAACAACAGCCTATACCAGGCTTCTAAACTGTTTCTACTGGGACAATTTGCTCTGAGGCCTGAAGATACGTACCTGCAGTCTGCCAGACATCTGTCATTCCTGAAAGGGGAAAAGGCAAGAAGGGATAATTACAATTTAATACACACTAATGATACAATATGAGTAATACAGATGGTCTCGAGGTGTGGAGTGTGAATACTGTTGCTGCAAATGAAGGACACAAATGTTAACATTATTAAAACTATAAAACGCTGAACAGGTTAACTGGGTTCCTGGAAAATTGGTGTCAGTGTGTGCGATTATGTCTGGTGTGATTGCGTGTGTCTGTTTCTGGTGTGAGTTTGGTTATCCAGTGTGAGTTAGCGTCTGTGTGTGGTGTGAGTGTTACTGTCGGTGTATGGTGTG